TCGCGATGGGGGTGCTCTTTAAATATCGGTTTCGTCGGAGATTTAGGTCGATGGGTTTGAGACAGGAGGCGACTCGAAGGAGCGAACAACAGTGTGGAGGCGGGCGCGATGATAAAGACGTTCCGCGTAGCGTCAGCTCGGAAAGCAATTTTTCAGCGGGAGACTGACGAAAAAAAAAAAAGAAAGTAAAAAAGGTGAAGGAGAAAGAACGAAGGTGGAGAGGAAAGGCCGACGCCCCGCCGCGGCACGGTACTTTAACAAGAAAAATACCCGCAGTCGTCGAGCAATTTTATTTACAATGGTTAAACGAAATCTTGAAGAATGTAAGCGGCGGACCCGTAAATCGCGCCGCGGAATCTATTGTGCCTTGACTTGGAAAAATAAACCGCGTTACATCACGCCGCCGCTGCTGCGACGCAGATACGCGACTGTGTAAAACTTTCAAACGAACGAGCAAGAAAGACAGAGAGGACGAGCGACTCTGCTTTGCATTCCCCGTCGATGCGCTCCGAAGCGCGTCCGAAGCGCATCCGAAGCGCGCGTCGAACGCGCGGAGACTCCTCGAGCTGAGCGGAGTGGTAGGGCAGCGTTAGAAAAACCACCAATTAGCCGGTACTTCGCGGCGTCCTTCTGGCAGAGAGGAATGTTAATAGCGAATATCGGCCCTTTGACGTGGTCTCTCTCCCTTTGAGATAAGGGAGCGCGGAAGAAAAAGAGGAAGAAGAAGAAGTGAGCAAATACAATCACCGCGAAGACATCGCGCGCACGAAAGTCCGCGCGCGTTCCTCTACCGCGGGCGAGGCGATAAGTGAATGTAAATACCGGCGCAACTTAAGTACGGAGGGATAACCCCGGGAAACGGAAATATTTGCGGATGCCTCGCCGTGCAGCGGGAAAGTTCGGTATTCATTTAAACGGCGCGATAACCGCACGCGAGTCTTCGGGCCCGTAATCAGCTTACCGATTTCCCTGGTTGTTCTCTCCGCGAGCGTTGGGGCTCCACCGCCGATATTAGTTCGAGATATCTGTCGTGAAATTGCGTTGTTAATAACACTCGCGCGGCGAAGGGGGGCTTAGGCTTAGCGCTTAATTGTTAGCGAGGTTAATAATTAACGAACGATAATCCACAGCTAACTTCCGGGAGTTCTCTCCGCTGCGGGTTTGTGTAGAGGAGAGCGTGATTAGCTATAAAACTTGGTGTCTTAAAAGTAAAATATGCCAGGTAATTAATGTACGTTTCCTTCCGGTAACGCGTTGGTAAACAATAATTATGGGCCTAGAGCTATCGAGGTCTTCCGAACGAGGACTTGCTTTTCTTTCTCAAGCAACTCCATCTTTTGCTTCTCGTAATTCGACTCTGAGAAGCCCGAGCTACCGTTCTAGCCAAATTCACCGCACTTACGCATACATATCTGAGCCAAAGTGCCTATTGTTGTCATTTCGCTTTTCTCTCAAAAATCGCTCTTTATCCTTCTCAGTCCTGGTGTCCAGTCAGAGCTGGAGAGTTATTTTTAAACGAGTAAGCGTGCACTTTTATTGAAGTTCTTTCTACACTTATCGTTTTAAATCACGTTTAAAGACATGTAAATTATAATTCCGTTAATTATAATGCGTTTAAACGTGTTAAATGACATAACTCCAAGAATTAAGAAACAGAAAGGGATCAAGTAAAAATAACACACTTAGGGTCGGTTTATCCAACTTCTTGCTAAGCTAACTAACAGTTAAATCTTATGTCTGTTTCTACCTAATTTAAAGGAGAAACAAAGATAGACGTATGAGTTAACTGTTAGTTAGCTTAGCAAGAGGTTGGAAAAACCGGCCTTTAAACTTGCAGTGTGTTTGTACTTTACAATCCGGATACCGCATCGGTACGTGGTCGTTTATCTCGTTTTAGAAGAGAGAGAGGAAACTAATAGCAGCGAATTAATGGTGCAAGGACCGAGCCGACATCTGATGTCGATGCTGCGTCTTTAAACGGTCTATAACTCGCGAATTAGACGACATAGAATGAAAGGCAATTTCTTTGGCACGCGTTTATACTGCTCTTCATTGCCCATTTGGAATAGTCGCAATCGATTAAAGCACGGCAAACACGCTCACACAAGCAACACGCGACCTCCTTCACTCGCGATCGAATTGTTCGGATTCCTTTCTGCGCCTCGTCTGTTGTAACGAGTGACGAGATTAATACTATAACAGTGGATGGAAATGAGGGAATAATTATTGTGATTATCTGTGAAATGGTAGAGGGCTTTATGTTCAACTTCATAAGCTGTATATACGTCCGTCTTCCTTTTGCTCCTCAGAGACCGAGGAGTAAGGCGCAATGGGACTTTATAACTTTGTAAGGGCACAAGTGGTTTAAATTGTTTCTCTCGACTGTCATATAAGCTCATCGATCCGATTATACGCGAGGCGAGTCGTGAAATCTATTGGTTATCGGTTCAGAAGACCGACTAGTTATCGATTTGATGTAAGAGAAAGAGGATTTTTTTTTATTTTCGCGCTCATCTCTCTCCGCGACTTCTCCGTTGCTGCCTCGGCACACGACGGTTGTAAAATAATACGCGAGTGGCGAGCAAACAAAAAAGTAGAAGTGGAAGAAGAGGAAGAATCGAGTCACGGTGTTGTGTATGTGTGTGTATATATGTATGTGTGCAAGAACAACTTTGAAAGTAACGGAGAGAAGCGCAAGCACGACTCGCGTTATTCATTCGACCGCGGGCGATATTCGCTTAACGGAGCGACGCGATTGTAACGGAAGATTTTATCGACGTAAGTTTGGAGTTGTTGTACAAGCCGTAAAAGAGTGAGCACGAGCCCTCGAAGTTACCTTTTTCCTGGATGATGAGTAATTACGCTACATGAGCGTAATTTTCCTTACGGAGGAAAGGTACAACGCTCTCTTTCCCTCTCTCTCTCTCTCTCTCTCTTTCTGAGAGAGGAAGAGAGGAGAAGCCGATTTCCTGGCAGGTGTATACAGCCGTTGCTCTTCAGGATCATTTGTTCAGCCGTTGCGTTAAGGGTCAGGGCAGGGAAATGATAAACGATCCCCTTTCCTTACCCATCTTTTCGCGCCGCGGGCTTCGTCCCGGCGCGTGCGTCTCGCCTCTGAGATCGTTCTTTCGAGGGGAATAACGGGCGCGACGGTGGCAGGGGTAGCAGAAGAAGGAGACGAGAGAAAAAAGAGAATACAACAGAAGAGAAATACGACCGCTTTGGGATGGCCCCTTCGTCCATCTCGTCTCAATGTGGACGAAATTTAAAGGGGTTTCCGCAGCGTCAACGTCACGAGGCTTAAAGAGGAAACCCGAGCGACGCGAGCGCGATCGTCATGACGACGACGACGACAGCACGTAGCCGAGGTCGCGTTGGCAGAGAACACGGCGCCCATGTCGCGCCAGCCTTGCGGGACGATTTAAATCAATTCACCGCGCACGCTGCCGTAGATAAATTCCCGGTCTGACGTTTAAGCGATCGCGAAAGTTTTTCGTAGCGCCGCGGCGCGATAAAAGCGACATAAGCGGCGTATAAAAGTTTCCTCCTTAAACGATCTCGGTCTTGCGGCGAGCTTCCTTCGAGCGCCCGTTTTCGGCCATTCGAAGTCGCCGATCCAGTCGGTCGTGGCGACGCGCCGTGTCCTGAATAAAATATGCGTGTACCTATCTCTCCTCTCCCTCCCCTCCCCTTCCCTCTGCGAGCGCTCCCTGTACGTGCGTCCGATTATCGATGTGCACGTAATTACTCGCGGGACAAACTTAGGAAAACGTGCGCGCCCTCCCGCGCGAACGGAAGCGGCGATAAGCGAGCGGATAAGTGGAAGGAGAGGGGGAGGGGAAGGGCGGTAGAAAAAGTCGAAGGGTGTCGTCGGCGAATTTAAGTTCGGTCGGATAATTTCCGGTAATGGAAAGCCCCCGTCTCTCCTATCTCGAGAAGGCAGAGCTTACCTCGACATCGGTATCAACCAATCCCAGGTGTTCAATTGGCGCTCCGCCAGAATTTAAGCTTGGCTTAAATTCCGCGCGCAGTTGCCACGTAACTGGGGCAGAGATTCAGATTAGGATTAACTAATTGTTGCGTACACCATCGGTAATTGGGCGGAATTTCCGCAAGGCTCCCCGCATACTAATATTTGACGAGAACCCGGCGTAACGTCGCGCGCGCGGCGCGTGGCGCGCCCCGCGCGCCACACAGAGGAGAAGTTAAGCCCGTTCTGTGGCGCGCAATCACGGCGTCTTGCGATCGATGTTAATACCCGAAAGCGATCGCTTTGCTTCCGTGTCTCTTCAGACACGCTCCCCGCTCTCTCTTCCCTTTGACCCGCCTGTTGTGTTGAATACGAAGCCGCGCTAATATTTTCGCGAATCCCTTAGCGTGCACGTTGTCGGTGCGCGCGAGTCCCTCGAATTATGCATCTTGGCTCTATCCACGGCTATTGCGGTTCAGAATATAGGATAATCATCGTTTAGTAACTATAAATCTATCAGGAAGTATTCGATGAGAAATATCGGTTCATAATTTTTTGATCGATTTATCTGACGAAATGCCATTATGATCAGAAGTATCCGATAAAATTTAATCGGACATAAAAATTCATCGGTATTTTGATCGGAAATATCCGTTAATTTGTTATCGAATAGTTTCTCTCAGTGAGATATTACTATGCCTGTTCCTGTTAGTGTGCTTTTGTATTGTACTTAAATAAGCTATCGAAAAACTGGCGCAAACAAATAGAAAAAGTATTTTTTATATTAAGTTTAATACTTTAATTAAAAAAGAAAATACTTTTTCTATTTATTTGTTTTCTTCTTGTATGGCTTATTTAAGGGCACATAGAAACACACTAAGTAACATGGACAATTATCCCAGTCACGTGTACACAGTTGGTCACGCACGTATACTGAGCCTAACGGTCAGTCTCGTGTTAATCCAATCACGTTGTCGGCCGATCATGCGTTATATAGGCGGCTAGGCACTGTGGGATCGCCGTGACTTACCGATTACACTTAAATGGACTAGATGACTCATGTGGGGCGTCGTGGAGACCTGGCACTCGTAAATGCCGCTGTCCCGGTGCTGCGGATACTTTATTTGCAGCGTCCAGTCCTCCGACTGGGCGGGATGGATCACGCGAAATCGCTGGTCGTTCGTGTACGTATAACGGCCAATCGTGAGCAAATGGACGTCCCTGTGCCGGACCCATGATACTTGTAGCGTCATCTGCAAAGGAAGACGAGACAGAGACGTGGGTTAGTACGCGGACGAAATGGACCTATATGGCGATGTCGAGTAAGGGAGAGAGATAAGAGAGAGAGAGAGAGAGAGAGGGAAGGAGGGAGAAATCACAAATGATTTCACGCTGGTTGAACGCACGGCACCCGGAATCTTTTGTGCCCCGGTTAAGGGTTACCCATTACGCCAGGACACGTAATTAGCGGGCCGTTTGTGCGTGGCGTGCCTATAATTAGCTGGATATCGGTCGGGACTTTTAATCACGTTCTCGAGCGAGTCCCCGGCGTGTTGTTGGTACGAACTATTGCGCACGGCATCCCTTCCTCATTATTATCATCATCCTTTTTTATTTCTGATAAGCACGCTATATATGGAGAGATACGAACAAACAGCTTCTCGTGATTTTGAGCGATTCTCGTGAAGTGAAAATTGTGCGCAAGACACGCTCTACTGAGCTCCAGTAAAACCTTAATACTGATCAGATCCATCGATCCTGTCGCGTGCGTGTGTCTGGACATAATGAGGATGTAACAATAAGATACAATATTATATGATGTATGTTAAACTTTCAAAATGACGGATTATAGTAGATTAAAATCAACAATCATAATTTATGCGCGAGCGATTAGGAATAATGAGTTTTGGTCTGGCGAATGTTAAAGCTTTGTTGAAGGTTTCGTGTACTCCCGAGCCAAAATTTTTACCCTACTTTCGAACTAAACTTTCTGATACCTATATATTCTGAAGGATCAATGTATATGTAACGTACATAGAAACTGAAATCCTGCTTAACGCCTCTAAATGGTAGGAAGCGCACAAAATGCCACTTGTAGCTTTTAAAGAGGATTTCTCTCGGCAGAATTAATAGATTAAAATAAATTCAAGAGAGCCTATTGTTGTAGGCTTCCTACATCAAAGGATAGGGTATCAAAATAGTCGTTAAATGGAATATTGAGGCCGAAGGTAGGATTGAAATTTTGACTCGAATTGCCACCGCAAATTAAAATATTTAAGGTAAAAATTCCGATTATCGGACATGTCTCTATATCGGAGCACAAATCATGATTAATATCGAATATTTTCCGTTGTATTAACTCTTTAATTCGGTCTCATTTTTATTAGTATCATATGTACAACCGTATGTTATATAACAAAATTGTTTTAAATCATATAAACTCTTACAGTGACAGGTGAATGAAATCAGTCGCAAGTTAATTGAGAAATAATAGAAAAGCTATTTCGTATAAATCATATACTTAATGAAATGTGTATTCGTAATTATATGATAGTTGATGAGAAGTTCGTAATTAATATATTATCGTAATTATTGCCGTATAAATAAGTTATCGTAATTATATACAATCGCGTCATAAATAGTCAACAAACAATTTCATTTAGATGATAATCATGCCCGGATATTGGGTCGGGAAAGTTTAGCAGTCGGAATAAACAGCAGGTAGCCTGGGGGTTGTCGGATCCATTCGTACGCCTTTAAATTTATATTACTCTCGAAATAATTTGGAAACTTTTCCATATCTATATATATTAATAATAAGTTTCACACTTCAGCTTTCATTTAATTATACAGCTAAAAATCGTTAGACATCGTCCATTCCTACAAAAGTTAAGCAATCTTGGTCCTGCGTAATTAAATATCCGACTATTGAGGCGTTTGTCTTACTGTGAGCGAAACACCACAGAAGGATTCTATGCAGTTTCCGTGTTTTATAATTGCGCGTGCATAAACGGTAAATCAGTATAATGAGAAAAAAAATATTTAAAAACTAGCAAATATCAATTTGGTGAGTACTAACAGCACATTCAACCTAAATTCTTTCATGTAAGTAGAATAGACAGTTGCTTCTCCACGAAGAACTAAGGTTTTCCCAAGGTGCATTTAAGAAAATGCATATTTTCTTCCTTGAGACATATTTTCTGTTGATATAAGTGAATGTGCTGTTAGCGTGTACCCGACCAAATAAATATTTACTAATTCTAGACATTTTCTCTGTTGGTGTTGGAGCCTTCGTACCGATGAAGGCGAACCGACGTGTTCAAGAGCGACCTGGTTCGTCGTCTTTCGCGCTTGTTGTCGGAAAAGGGAATAAAATGTTCTCGCCAAATTGAAGGTACGCTTAGCTGAAACCGCACGCTCTTTCAGCATGCGCGAGCGAAACAGCGACGACGACGTGACACACAGAAGCCGAGGACGAGACAAGTCGATACTGTCGCGCAGTTTCCAATGGGACGTGTAATAGAATAAATTACAAAGCGTGCACGCGTCAGACCCTAAATTCGGACTCGCGAGCGGGGTATACGACGTCGCATCAGATGCAAGTTACCGAACGTGTTGCGCGAGCGTGTGCCTGCTCGCGTACATACGTACGTACGTAGGGTGAGGAAGGGGAAGGGGAATTAATAGAGTCGCTTTGCATATCGTTGCGAAGTTAGCGTGCGAGATAAAACGCCGCGAGCCGCGATAATTGGACACCCGGGCCCAGCGACGTGTAAATATTTGCATCCTTCGTAGGGTCGATACGCATTGCTCTCGAACGGCATGAACGCCGCGGAGCGCTTCGAGACGGTCGATTTTGCGCGCGATATCGCGCAGGAGAGAGTGCGCGTGCATGCATGCATGCATGTGGTCATTCCACGTACGGATGTTTGTTCCCGTAACTACCGCAACGAACACCGTATGTTCCGATAATGAAAGTTAAGTCTGAGTTGCATCGAGAGCAAGAGAGAGAGAGAGAGAGAGAGAGAGAGAGAGAAAGCCGGGAGTTAATTAAATCCGGATTAATGACAAACAAACGAACCTTGAAATGCGTTGCCACGAACACGCATTGAGTTAATCAAATTTCAGAATCAAACACTAGAGTTTGGCCGGTCGTTCTGATATCAGCTGCAAAGCGAAGATTTGGGGCTCGCGAAATGTGAAATAATCGTGAGAGGATCTTCTCGAGCGACGCGCCAACTACCAACACCGCGCTAGTCGATGCTGCACACTCCTCCTCCTCCTCTTTCTCCTCCTCTCTCCCCAGCATTGCCCCGGTACAACCTTAAATTTTAATGCCCGGTTCAATTCACGTCCGAAGTCTTTCATTAGGAGCGCCACGACCCGGATCCCGGGGGACGGCTCGGTATATACCTATCTCTCTACCGCCAGCGCCAAGCAACGTTCCCCGGGACTCGCCTCCACGGATCCTTATCCAACTCACTTCGTAGTTTCCGAGGACCCTAGGTCGGTGGTGGCGGCGGCGGGTCCTGCCGGACGAATACGAGTTACCGCGGAAGTTTCGGGCGACCCGAAGATGTCCCTTGTTCGAGAACTTGCAGGCGATATCCGAGTAGATAAGGAGGAGGCGACCCGTAGATAAGGACGTCTCGACCAGAGAAGGGAGGTTGAGAGGGAGAGGAAGACACGGGGGGGAGGGGTGGTAGGAGAACTCGTTCCTGGCGAGTGGCGAAGGTCGCTAGAGCGACTCCACGTAAGTGGTTACGGCGAGAGTTTGGTCAGACCAGCGCGACTGGTCCTCTCTCTCTCTCTCTCTCTCTCTCTCTCTCTCTCTCGCTCTCTCTCTCTCTCTCTCTCGCTCTCTCTCTCTCTCTCTCTCGCTCTCTCTCTCTCTCTCTCTCGCTCTCTCTCTCTCTCTCTCTCGCTCTCTCTCTCTCTCTCTCTCGCTCTCTCTCTCTCTCTCTCTCGCTCTCTCTCTCTCTCTCTCTCGCTCTCTCTCTCTCTCTCTCTCGCTCTCTCTCTCTCTCTCTCTCGCTCTCTCTCTCTCTCTCTCTCGCTCTCTCTCTCTCTCTCTCTCGCTCTCTCTCTCTCTCTCTCTCGCTCTCTCTCTCTCTCTCTCTCGCTCTCTCTCTCTCTCTCTCTCGCTCTCTCTCTCTCTCTCTCTCGCTCTCTCTCTCTCTCTCTCTCGCTCTCTCTCTCTCTCTCTCTCGCTCTCTCTCTCTCTCTCTCTCGCTCTCTCTCTCTCTCTCTCTCGCTCTCTCTCTCTCTCTCTCTCGCTCTCTCTCTCTCTCTCTCTCGCTCTCTCTCTCTCTCTCTCTCGCTCTCTCTCTCTCTCTCTCTCGCTCTCTCTCTCTCTCTCTCTCGCTCTCTCTCTCTCTCTCTCTCGCTCTCTCTCTCTCTCTCTCTCGCTCTCTCTCTCTCTCTCTCTCGCTCTCTCTCTCTCTCTCTCTCGCTCTCTCTCTCTCTCTCTCTCGCTCTCTCTCTCTCTCTCTCTCGCTCTCTCTCTCTCTCTCTCTCGCTCTCTCTCTCTCTCTCTCTCGCTCTCTCTCTCTCTCTCTCTCGCTCTCTCTCTCTCTCTCTCTCGCTCTCTCTCTCTCTCTCTCTCGCTCTCTCTCTCTCTCTCTCTCGCTCTCTCTCTCTCTCTCTCTCGCTCTCTCTCTCTCTCTCTCTCGCTCTCTCTCTCTCTCTCTCTCGCTCTCTCTCTCTCTCTCTCTCGCTCTCTCTCTCTCTCTCTCTCGCTCTCTCTCTCTCTCTCTCTCGCTCTCTCTCTCTCTCTCTCTCGCTCTCTCTCTCTCTCTCTCTCGCTCTCTCTCTCTCTCTCTCTCGCTCTCTCTCTCTCTCTCTCTCGCTCTCTCTCTCTCTCTCTCTCGCTCTCTCTCTCTCTCTCTCTCGCTCTCTCTCTCTCTCTCTCTCGCTCTCTCTCTCTCTCTCTCTCGCTCTCTCTCTCTCTCTCTCTCGCTCTCTCTCTCTCTCTCTCTCGCTCTCTCTCTCTCTCTCTCTCGCTCTCTCTCTCTCTCTCTCTCGCTCTCTCTCTCTCTCTCTCTCGCTCTCTCTCTCTCTCTCTCTCGCTCTCTCTCTCTCTCTCTCTCGCTCTCTCTCTCTCTCTCTCTCGCTCTCTCTCTCTCTCTCTCTCGCTCTCTCTCTCTCTCTCTCTCGCTCTCTCTCTCTCTCTCTCTCGCTCTCTCTCTCTCTCTCTCTCGCTCTCTCTCTCTCTCTCTCTCGCTCTCTCTCTCTCTCTCTCTCGCTCTCTCTC